TGTCTGAATTCACGTCTTCGGAAACGACGAATGAGCCATGTGACACCACGACGGAGCCGTGTCTGAATTCCACGTTTTCGGAAACTACCACGGAGCTATTTGAGACCACGACGGAGCCATGTCTGAATTCCACGTCTTCCGAAACTACCACGGAGCCATGTGAGACCACGACGGATCCATTTGAGACTACCACGGAGCCATGTCTGAATTCCACGTCTTCCGAAACTACCACAGAACCCTGTGAGGCCACGACGGAGCCATGTCTGAATTCCACGTCTTCGGAAACGACGAATGAGCCATGTGACACCACGACGGAGCCGTGTCTGAATTCCACGTTTTCGGAAACTACCACGGAGCTATTTGAGACCACGACGGAGCCATGTCTGAATTCCACGTCTTCCGAAACTACCACGGAGCCATGTGAGACCACGACGGATCCATTTGAGACTACCACGGAGCCATGTCTGAATTCCACGTCTTCCGAAACTACCACAGAACCCTGTGAGGCCACGACGGAGCCATGTCTGAATTCCACGTCTTCGGAAACGTCGACTGAGCCATATGAGACCACACGGAGCCATGTGAGACCACGACGGAGCCATGTCTGAATTCCACGTCTTCGGAACCGACGAATGAGCCATGTGAGACCACGACGGAGCCATTTGAGACTACCACGGAGCCATGTCTGAATTCCACGTCTTCTGAAACTACCACAGAACCCTGTGACACCACGACGGAGCCATGTCTGAATTCCACGTCTTCGGAACCGACGAATGAGCCATGTGAGACCACGATGGATCCATTTGAGACTACCACGGAGCCATGTCTGAATTCCACGTCTTCCGAAACTACCACAGAACCCTGTGAGGCCACGACGGAGTCATGTCTGAATTCCACGTCTTCGAAACGACGACTGAGCCATATGAGACCACGACGGAGCCATGTGAGACTACCACGGAGCCATGTCTGAATTCCACGTCTTCTGAAACTACCACAGAACCCTGTGACACCACGACGGAGCCATGTCTGAATTCCACGTCTTCAAAAACGACGAATGAGCCATGTGAGACCACGACGGATCCATTTGAGACTACCACGGAGCCATGTGAGACTACCACGGAGCCATGTCTGAATTCCACGTCTTCTGAAACGACGACTGAGCCATGTGAGACCACGACGGATCCATTTGAGACTACCACGGAGCCATGTCTGAATTCCACGTCTTCGGAAACGACGACTGAGCCATGTGAGACCACGACGGAGCCATGTAAGACTAATACGGAGCCATTTCTAAATTCCACGTCTTCGGAAACGACGAATGAGCCATGTGAGACCACGACGGATCCATGTCTGAATGCCACGTCTTCAAAAACGACGAATGAGCCATGTGAGACCACGACGGATCCATTTGAGACTACCACGGAGCCATGTGAGACTACCACGGAGCCATGTCTGAATTCCACGTCTTCGGAAACGACGACTGAGCCATATGAGACCACGACGGAGCCATGTGAGACTACCACGGAGTCATGTCTGAATTCCACGTCTTCGGAAACGACGACTGAGCCATATGAGACCACGACGGAGCCATGTGAGACTACCACGGAGCCATGTCTGAATTCCACGTCTTCTGAAACTACCACAGAACCCTGTGACACCACGACGGAGCCATGTCTGAATTCCACGTCTTCAAAAACGACGAATGAGCCATGTGAGACCACGACGGATCCATTTTGAGACTACCACGGAGCCATGTGAGACTACCACGGAGCCATGTCTGAATTCCACGTCTTCGGAAACGACGACTGAGCCATATGAGACCACGACGGAGCCATGTGAGACTACCACGGAGTCATGTCTGAATTCCACGTCTTCGGAAACGACGACTGAGCCATATGAGACCACGACGGAGCCATGTGAGACTACCACGGAGCCATGTCTGAATTCCACGTCTTCTGAAACTACCACAGAACCCTGTGACACCACGACGGAGCCATGTCTGAATTCCACGTCTTCAAAAACGACGAATGAGCCATGTGAGACCACGACGGATCCATTTGAGACTACCACAGAACCCTGTGACACCCGACGGAGCCATGTCTGAATTCCACGTCTTCGGAAACGACGACTGAGCCATGTGAGACCACGACGGATCCATTTGAGACTACCACGGAGCCATGTCTGAATTCCACGTCTTCGGAAACGACGACTGAGCCATGTGAGACCACGACGGAGCCATGTAAGACTAATACGGAGCCATTTCTAAATTCCACGTCTTCGGAAACGACGAATGAGCCATGTGAGACCACGACGGATCCATGTCTGAATGCCACGTCTTCAAAAACGACGAATGAGCCATGTGAGACCACGACGGATCCATTTGAGACTACCACGGAGCCATGTGAGACTACCACGGAGCCATGTCTGAATTCCACGTCTTCTGAAACTACCACAGAACCCTGTGACACCACGACGGAGCCATGTCTGAATTCCACGTCTTCGGAAACGACGACTGAGCCATGTGAGACCACGACGGAGCCATGTAAGACTACCACGGAGCCATGTCTAAATTCCACGTCTTCGGAAACGACGAATGAGCCATGTGAGACCACGACGGAGCCATTTGAGACTACCACGGAGCCATGTCTGAATTCCACGTCTTCTGAAACTACCACAGAACCCTGTGACACCACGACGGAGCCATGTCTGAATTCCACGTCTTCGGAACCGACGAATGAGCCATGTGAGACCACGATGGATCCATTTGAGACTACCACGGAGCCATGTCTGAATTCCACGTCTTCCGAAACTACCACAGAACCCTGTGAGGCCACGACGGAGTCATGTCTGAATTCCACGTCTTCGGAAACGACGACTGAGCCATATGAGACCACGACGGAGCCATGTGAGACTACCACGGAGCCATGTCTGAATTCCACGTCTTCTGAAACTACCACAGAACCCTGTGACACCACGACGGAGCCATGTCTGAATTCCACGTCTTCAAAAACGACGAATGAGCCATGTGAGACCACGACGGATCCATTTGAGACTACCACGGAGCCATGTGAGACTACCACGGAGCCATGTCTGAATTCCACGTCTTCTGAAACTACCACAGAACCCTGTGACACCACGACGGAGCCATGTCTGAATTCCACGTCTTCGGAAACGACGACTGAGCCATGTGAGACCACGACGGATCCATTTGAGACTACCACGGAGCCATGTCTGAATTCCACGTCTTCGGAAACGACGACTGAGCCATGTGAGACCACGACGGAGCCATGTAAGACTAATACGGAGCCATTTCTAAATTCCACGTCTTCGGAAACGACGAATGAGCCATGTGAGACCACGACGGATCCATGTCTGAATGCCACGTCTTCAAAAACGACGAATGAGCCATGTGAGACCACGACGGATCCATTTGAGACTACCACGGAGCCATGTGAGACTACCACGGAGCCATGTATGAATTCCACGTCTTCTGAAACTACCACAGAACCCTGTGACACCACGACGGAGCCATGTCTGAATTCCACGTCTTCGGAAATGACGACTGAGCCATGTGAGACCACGACGGAGCCATGTAAGACTACCACGGAGCCATGTCTAAATTCCACGTCTTCGGAAACGACGAATGAGCCATGTGAGACCACGACGGATCCATTTGAGACTACCACGGAGCCATGTCTGAATTCCACGTCTTCCGAAACTACCACAGAACCCTGTGAGACTACCACGGAGCCATGTCTGAATTCCACGTTTTCGGAAACTACCACGGAGCCATTGGAGACAACCACGGAGCCTTGTCTGAATTCGACGTCTTCTGTAACAAGTACAGAGCCATGTGAGACTACTACGGAGCCATGTGAGACTACTACGGAGCCATTGGAGACAACCACGGAACCTTTTCTGAATTCGATGTCTTCTGAAACAAGTATAGAGCCATGTGAGACTCTTACGTCTTCTGCAACAACCCTGTAACCCGATTATCCGAGGTGATGCCATTCTGATTCTTGAACGATCTAATATTTCTTCTGTTCTGTTTTGAGAAAGTGCTTCTAGTTTCGTACATTTCGAAATGACTTTGTTTTTTATTCAAGTGTGAATAAATTTTCGAGAAAACAACAATTTTTCCTATTGATAATTTGATAACGAATGACATGATTCGGAATTAGACCTTTTTGAAATTTTGTACTTCATTTCAAAAATGTTAAACCGTCCAATTTTGCAAGAAATAGGCACACTGGGTGGAATTTGAATGAATGATAATGAACCAATTCTGAACTGTTTATAATGAGAATTTGCATATCCAACATCGCATATAACAGAACAAATGCTGACACAGGAACCCTCATTTCATCCAATCTTTTTCATGGAATGTTCAGAGTGCGACTTTTCGACGTTTTCTTCATATTTCTTATATGCTGCCTGTTTTTGAAAACCAACGGATGTCGTCCACCTCTGCCTTGCAAAGATGGAAACTGTGAAACTACTAACAATGTTAGCAGGGAAAAGCTTCCAGATAATAATGAAGCTTCTACAAGTAAGTCGGAGCTTCTTTGTTATTTCCATCAAAATTATGTCAGTTTTCGAGATTTCACAAATGATATGGGTGATCTCAGGGCTGTGCCACGGCCGGCCTCGGCCGGCTTTGTCTAGGCCTGAAAAAGCCGCGGCCTCAGAGGCCTGAATACAAAAAGCCGCGGCCGGCCGCGGCCGGCCCAGACTTGCCGCGCGGATTTTTGGAAAACATTGTGAAAATGGATTTATTCCTGAATATACTTGTTTTCCGAAAAAAAAAACAACTGCCAGAGGGACGGTTTTGAGATACACAGTCTGGAATCCAGTAAAAAGGATCAGGATAAAATATTTTTTAAGAATTCTGGAATACGAAATACGGATTCTGCGTTCCGTCGTCTCTAATTACTAGGATTGAGATAATTTTCATCAACACAGTCATTGTTCAGATAACAACATAAAATTTGAACACTTTCCGGAAAAAAAACATTTTCCAAAAAATTGTTAGTATTCAAGATTTAAGTTCAATTTTTTGTACGAAAGACCGAAACACAATTTGCGAACACACATTGAGAAGTTTGATTGGGATAAGTAGATTTTAAGTTCCTAATCCTTCAAAAAAACTAGGTTTCATTTCACGGGATTTTATCAGGTTTGCCGCGGCTGGCCGCGGACTCTAAAATGGAGCCGCGGCCGGCCGCCATTTTGCACAGCCTTGGGTGATCTTAAGATTTCTAATGATCTGAAAACACTATTACATTTGTACCAGAACTATGAGGAGCAATAGATATAACTCCAACAGGTCCGGATATGATCAAATTGAAACTTTTCAGCCCCCTACACAATACCCACTGAAAACTTCTCTGAAACAAGCAAACCCACAACGTTGGATAACTTTTCTTCCTCTACCGGTAAGAAATTGCATTGATACAAGTGATTCACGTTCATATTTCAGGAAACACATTTGCGTTGAAAACAGTCTCAACGTCTTCAACTTCGCCTATCGCTGATACCGAAATCATAACAACGAAAACAACGGAACCATCTTCTTCGGGTATGTCAATATTGAGAAGTAATGCCTCTTATTCGCTAGATATAATTCAACCTTGATTTAACTCTCAGCTAATTTAACTCTCTGTATCATTGCGAATCATGAATCCTCATAATTCACCTAATTTTTTTAAAGAGATAACATCTTCTTCTACTGTGACTCAATCGACATCATCAGAGCCATGTGAGACGGAAAGCACAGGATCGAGCTCATCGAGTGAAATGATATCTGAAGCATCTTCTTCTACTGTAACTCAATCGACATCATCAGAGCCATGTGAGACGGACAGCACAGGATCAAGCTCATCGAGTGAAATGACATCTGAAGCATCTTCTTCTACTGTAACTCAATCAACATCATCAGAGCCATTTGAGACGGAAAGCACAGGATCAAGCTCATCGAGTGAAATGACATCTGAAGCATCTTCTTCTACTGTAACTCAATCAACATCATCAGAGCCATGTGAGACGGAAAGCACAGGATCAAGCTCATCGAGTGAAATGACATCTGAAGCATCTTCTTCTACTGTAACTCAATCGACATCATCAGAGCCATGTGAGACGGAAAGCACAGGATCGAGCTCATCGAGTGAAATGACATCTGAAGCATCTTCTTCTACTGTAACTCAATCGACATCATCAGAGCCATGTGAGACGGAAAGCACAGGATCGAGCTCATCGAGTGAAATGACATCTGAAGCATCTTCTTCTACTGTAACTCAATCAACATCATCAGAGCCATGTGAGACGGAAAGCACAGGATCAAGCTCATCGAGTGAAATGACATCTGAAGCATCTTCTTCTACTGTGACTCAATCAACATCATCAGAGCCATGTGAGACGGACAGCACAGGATCAAGCTCATCGAGTGAAATGACATCTGAAGCATCTTCTTCTACTGTAACTCAATCAACATCATCAGAGCCATTTGAGACGGAAAGCACAGGATCAAGCTCATCGAGTGAAATGACATCTGAAGCATCTTCTTCTACTGTAACTCAATCAACATCATCAGAGCCATGTGAGACGGAAAGCACAGGATCAAGCTCATCGAGTGAAATGACATCTGAAGCATCTTCTTCTACTGTGACTCAATCGACATCATCAGAGCCATTTGAGACGGAAAGCACAGGATCAAGCTCATCGAGTGAAATGACATCTGAAGCATCTTCTTCTACTGTAACTCAATCGACATCATCAGAGCCATGTGAGACGGAAAGCACAGGATCGAGCTCATCGAGTGAAATGACATCTGAAGCATCTTCTTCTACTGTAACTCAATCAACATCATCAGAGCCATGTGAGACGGAAAGCACAGGATCAAGCTCATCGAGTGAAATGACATCTGAAGCATCTTCTTCTACTGTGACTCAATCGACATCATCAGAGCCATTTGAGACGGAAAGCACAGGATCAAGCTCATCGAGTGAAATGACATCTGAAGCATCTTCTTCTACTGTAACTCAATCGACATCATCAGAGCCATGTGAGACGGAAAGCACAGGATCGAGCTCATCGAGTGAAATGACATCTGAAGCATCTTCTTCATACTGTAACTCAATCAACATCATCAGAGCCATGTGAGACGGAAAGCACAGGATCAAGCTCATGGAGTGAAATGACATCAGAAGCATGTTGTTGTATTGTAAGTCAATCAACATCATCAGAGCCATGTGAGACGGAAAGCACAGGATCAAGCTCATCGAGG